ATCTATCCAATGTTAATATTACTGAGTCTTTCAAATAATGTGATATCTAAATCAACCTCATGAAATCTGAAAAGGAAATCAATCTTTTTTTGTTTGTTTGTTTGTTTGTTTGTTTGTTTATGCTAGCTTCTGTTATCACAAGAATTATAGAATTATGCAAAAATTTTCCTGGCAATGAAGGCACCTTACCTTTGAAAATCTGACCTTTATTATCTTTGCAATTTCTCATGTGTAGAAACTCTATGATATCTAACCGGTCTTTGCATTTTTTTTTCTTTAATTAATAGAATTTAAGTCTAGATAGGAGCACTGTAATTATTTAATCTGATGTTTTGCACAGGAGTGAGAGTGACTGATACACAGAGCTTTGCAAGACCAGGAGAAATTTATTTTGCTTCATACAATGAAAGAAGATTGACAAGCTCTGCTCCTTGCACTTGAATTATACCCTACTTTTCAGAAAGCTAATCAATTTACAGACTTCAGGGGTGAAATTTATCTACAGTGATTACAGCTCTGGTCTTTGGTGATTTTGTAGATTCTGTCTCTAGTCAACACAGAGAAACAGCCATGTCAGTAGGCTGCCACACTAAGAATAATGGGCTCTGTACCCTCCAAGAGCTGTATGTCTGTTCCTACTGAGTATGGAGGGAACCTAAACAACAGATTTTCACACAGAAATCCCATCTCAAGTGCTAATGAACATGCTATCAAGTCTCCAGTGACAGTACACTGGTTAAATACACTCTTTTTTTTTTCCTAAGTATGCCTTCCCACCATCTACACTTGCGTGGAACTTTGATAGATCAAACTGTCTTCCAGGTGAATGAGAAATCTTCTCCTTATGGCACATGCTAAAAGATAGCAATCCAGTGGAGTTTCCAATCTCTTTCACAAATATAGTAAATCAATTTCTTTTTAGTCTCCATAAATGAGGGCAGATTTTCCAGGCCATGAATTAACTATACTGTTGCTATAACATAAAGAATCAGAGTAATGCTACAAAAAATAAAATAAAATAAAATAAAATAAAATAAAATAAAATAAAATAAAATAAAATAAAATAAAATAAAAAAGCTTTGGAGAGAATGTTCAGTCCTCCTCTTTTTCCAAGGGCAGGACAAAACATTCGCTCAAGACAGAACATTAGCTAATCCTGACAAATATTTGCCTAAACTGTTCTTGAAAGCTTCTAAAAGTGGACTTTCCACAGTTTCTGTTGCTTAACCACTGTACTGCATCACTGTTTTTCTTATAAGGAAGTTTTTCTTAAGGTTCAAGCTTCTTTGGTGTGGATGCAGTTTGAAGCCCATTATCACTGCCTTTTTAGTTTTCAAGTCTCTGGATATAGAACAGGAGAAGTTTTATGAACAGCAGCATGTACAGGAAGGGCTTCACAAAGAAGAATGAGTATTTTGTCTCTGTCCTTTTTTCTCTTTTAAGTTCTGTGTGGAACATTTGTGTTACCTGACGATCTCTCTGACTATGCCCCGCTGAAATATTTCCTTAACTTTGGGATGCTGAGCATAGGTCACGCATGAGTAACAGTCCTTAATATGAAAGGGCACATTCAAAATGTGATCTGTAGACAAACTGAGTACAGAAATAAAATGGCTGTGGGAAAAACATTCTGTTCCTGGGTAACTGTCTGCCTTCTCCAGATTAGAAAAGACCATCAAACCATAGCAGCTGACAGGCTATTGTTCTTTCCAGATACATGATCTGAGCAGACAGGAAGGTGAGGAGATGAGTAGCTAAATTTGAACTTGCATGCAAATCTCTGACAGAACAAACAAGCTCTGCAGATCATTTCCTAGCAAGGAATCAGGGATATCATTCCACTTCAGGAACTTATGGCCAACAGAAAGTTGCTGAGCTAATGATGTTCCCATCTGAGTGTCATGCAAAATGCCATGAACTTCAGAAGTACAAATCGTCCAGTGAAAATTGAGGTCACACTCAGCAGGGAAAATAGAGGAGCAGACACACTATTTGGCTTATATTTCTGCAACTGTGTGTGGTGTGAATGGAAATCAATGCCATTTCACAATGATTTCTGCACGTATACCTTCCTATTGTGCCCTATCTGAACAGAGCAGCCCTGCAAAGATAAACAGGAGATACATGCAGTATCTCCTTAAGTCCACATTTTATCTAATGAAAAAAAATACATATTTACAAATTGGTAAGTACTCTATTTCCTTTCAGATTTAGCCTTCAGACTACTCGTGTACTAACCTGGCACAGAGCCTTCTAGACCAATGCTAGATACCCATTATATGTGTCGTAGAAATGCAGGAGTTAAACAGAAACAGGTGCCCAGAACCATTTTGAACCATACTTGCATGTCAACAATGGAATATTTGCAGTAATTCATAAGTAGAGCTTTGCATTCTTGATTCTTAGTTTAAATCTGAACAGGAGCTTGAAATGAGAGCACTGCCTGAAACTGTTATGTCAAGTGTCACGTTGCTTTACTATTTGGAGAGTTGAACAAACTAGAAATGCTAGAAGGAACACAGACCAAAAGTTAAAAAGGTGTGTGCTGCACACAAAATCTGATCTAAATTTTTTGAAATTCAGAGAAAGATAAAATAGTTTTTCATTGTTTTTTGTTGTTGTAGTTGTTGTTTTCTTTTGACACATTTTCTTCTGTTCATCTATGATGCAGCAATACTTCTGGAACTCCTTTCAAGAAGAGACCCATTGTAAGGTCATAGCTGAATACTTTGATATCCACCTTCTTCAGAGAATGCAGCTAAGCCAGATAGATAGATGTGATCTATTATAACATCTCTATTTCTGACACAGCTTTTGACTCGAGCCTGCATCAAAATATTTGCTGATTGAAGAGCCTCCTTGTGTGATTTATGGCCAACCAAGCATGAACAGTAATACATCAGATCAACTCAGTGCACTGAGAACAATGGTATGGTCTAAGCACAGTGTTACAAGAACATGGAGAAATAAATGTTTTGTTTGGCTACTGAGAATGAATTGTCTTCCAGTGTCAGTATGAGTGTGAATGGAGACTGATAAGAAAGCAGAGAGAGAGGTAAAATACAGCTGCAGAATAAAAAAACAGGTAAGTAAAATTTGCATTATATCTTTACTGCATTAAAATATGTCATAATTTCACTAAGTACTTGCAATACACAGATTTCAAATATTATAAATATTATACATACTATAAATAAAATACGTAATCATTCCAGCAGATGACAGATTTCAGATGAACTGACTCTTTATATCTCATCACTGAGCCCTCTCCAAATCTGATTCTTCTCCTGACCTGTGAATTTACTTTCTGGCTTTACCTTCTGTATTACCATGAACTTACCCAATCATCTTGATGCCTTGCTGAGCTTGGATACCCTCTCCAGGTCTTCTCTGCTCACCTCCTTCAGCACTGTGGGGTCTGGGCACTGGATGATGTTCTTTGCCACCTATTTTTGTGCTCAGCCCTACTCTTACCATAATTCATGCATCTGCCAGTCTCCACTGCTCCCTAAAAAATCTTGCCAATCATAGAACCATAGAATCACAAGGTTGGAAAAGACCTACCAGATCATCTAGTCCAACAGTCTCCTCATCACCATTGCCAAACCACATCTGATGCTATTGCTTCTTCAGATGAGTTCTTTTCAGCTTGCAGCAAAGCTCAAAATATTTGTATTACTTTTCAGAGGCTCTCTATCAGGACTTGGTACTAATTTATTTTCTGCAGAAATTATCATGCATACTTTATTTACTGTGATATACTTTAATGTTTGGTAATACACGTAGCATTTTTGGTGCTCTGTGATGAGTTTCCCTGGAGAATGGGTCAAAATTACCAGAATCAGACCTAAAATAAGGCCTGAATTTAATTCTACTGAATCCTTCTGTTTGTTATTTAGGATTATGCTAACCACAGGTTGACAGATGAACTGGAAGGAGCTGCAGGCATCTGAGCTCAAAGGATACACATGCATACATACACAGTACAGTGCAGAGGGTGTGGAGAAAACTTCTACCTTATTAGCTCCTTTGCTAAAGCAAATACATCCTAACTCTTGGACTAAGCTCTCTGCCAGGAGATAAAATAGCAAATCTATCCCCAGGTGGTTTCACATAGATTAATGTATCAGCTCCATAGAGCCAGCTGAGGTCTCTAACAGTACATTGTGTTGTTGATTGATGTCCTGTATTACCAGGATGAGTACTTTAAAGTGAAGATCTCTCTTTACAGCTACATTAATGCAAGGGTTTACCAAAGATAGTAAGCAGGACTTGCTTGCTGAGATGTGTGTTCTTGGCTAACAGATCTGCTGTAGAGATTTTTATGTGGATGAGAGCTTCCAGCTATGAGGAATAGCTGCTATAGGTACTCACAGAAGTGATAATTTCATTCAGTTTCTCCCTAAGAACGTAACCTGAGGCACAAGTTCAGCTGTGCTTAGATTAAAAGTTAGATCTGTTAATGGAAAAAGATCCCCAAAACATCTTGGAAGAAAGGGAAGTCAAATAGTTAAACCAGAGGCCAAACCAAACCAAAATGAGGCTTAGCAGTATCTACCAGAATGAAAGAAAGAATAAAGATCCTCTCAAGTTTTTTATTTATTTATTCATTTTTTAAAATCCAAAACAAACTCCAGGATTGCAAGCAGTTTTTAATATTTCCTTTTTTAAAGGAACAAAAAAAGCTAACTGCAATACAGTTTGTGTCATTCCACCGCAGCCTATGATTCAAGTTTCACCAAGCTACAGTAATAATCCTACTGAAGAACTCAAATAAATGCTTAAGTGGTCAAACTTTAGTATATAGATATCTGTATACAATATTAGGTATTGTTCATAAAGTAACTGGGGCATGAATTTCTAAATATATTTGGATGTAAATTTTCCATGAATGAAAAAACTTATCTTTAATTTTGTTTCTTTCAGATAAATAACAATGTGCCTGTACATGCAGCCATATAGTCCTCCTCTTAAAGCCAGATTCCTACTTCTGCTGTCATTCCTGTATCTGCGTTACCAAAATTATGCTTGCATGGCTGCTTGCACTAAGCTTGACTGTACAAGCTGCTCAAATTAGAAGATGGAGATGAAACTGAAGACAGCCCACTGGTAAGTGGTTAAGCAAACTTCTGTCTGTATTTGAAATTATGATACACAAACATGACAGCACAGCTATTACTTCTGAACAAGGGAGCAGAAACTTGCCTGTGCCTTGAATATTGTCTGATTGTACAGGAAACATCCAGGTTTGAATCTGAAAGCAGTTGCTTCAGGAAATACAAATTCATCACAAAATAAATAAGGAAATGTAAGTACACACAGTCCCACACACGCAAGAAAAGCAATAAACATGGAGCACAGTTTATTTACTTGGTTGTTAATAAAGTTATTGTGACCATGAGGGACAACCGTATCTCAAATGGGTGAATCAGTCTTTCAGTTAGAAGTATGGCCTAAAACTGTGTAACTCAAGAAATGAACCAGACTTACAGAGTGCTTGTGCCCTGCTCAAATTTTGCATAACCATGAAGTCTTCGTTGAGTTCTTAATCACATGGACTTTACTGGAGACTTCTAAACTTAAATATCTGAATCACGTAACTACCCAACGGGCCAATAGCCATTTCAGGGACTGCAGCAAACTTGAGGTCATGTTCTTAATGAAAGTAATTTAATACCTAGGTACAAAGCACAAAAAATATACATTATATATATGATACATATATTCCTGCAGAATTAAGCGATGTTATTACTGCTTTTCCCTGTCTACTAGACAGTAGCAATGATGTTCGTATCTGCCATATCTGGTTTATCTATTTATTTATTTAGCTAAGGAAACCCCTTCCATGTATGAACAACTGCATTTTTGAAAGCTAACTATTACACAGTGAGCTATTAACTTTAAACACCCTTCATTCCTGAAAGCTATGTAGTAGAAACACCTTAGGTTAGGGCAACTGCGCTTACGTAAGAGAGTTTTTCTGCCAAGTAATTGCCTTAGAAGGCCTTTATGATACAGGTAAGTGTTTGTACAGAGATTTCCACTTCTCGTACAACAGATTGCTACTGGAGAAATCAATGCCTTGCATATGGCAAAAGCAGGAGAAAAGCAGTCTTGAGCTCGATAAAACAGAAGCAAAACCTCTCCGAAGAGTTCAGAGAAAAAAAAACCCAGATGCTGAACTGTAATTCTATCTCCTGTGGAGTCCTGCCTATTGCTGCTGCTTCCAGCAAAAGCAGTGATATGCTGACACCTTGCAGAAGCTCCAGAACACCTGGCTGTCTCTCAAGGGTAAGTCTAAACTTGTCTGTGAGCTCATTAGAAAAGCACTGGTATGTTTTTCCATCTGATTTTTCTTTTTCAATTTGCCTGAAGATTCTCAGTGGAGTTTCTCCTTCTCAGATTTTCCAATGAAGAAATATTGATAAGCTTGGCTTGAAACTGAAAGTGCCAAGTTAAGCAACTGTCCTGATGGTCCTGGTCTCTCCTGGGTGTTTGAGGTTTCTATGACCTTGCAAAAACAATAGAGAAGTTGACATAAGCACTGTATTTTTCTCTTTTCCCTGGTTTGCTGGTCTGGGGACAGCATGTACTAGCTAACAAGTTCTGCCCCATCCTGTTGTTATTCTAAATTGGTACTCTGGTCAGACAATTAGATCAGGCAATTAGAGGGCTGTGTTATTAGGCTCCCCTTTAGCATGTATTTAAATGTGTAGCCTGAAGACTAATGGGAATGTCTAGCTAGATCCATACAATACATTTTGGAACTACTAAATCAATTTCATTTTTTTTTTCCCCTAGCCAGGAAAAAATTAAGGGTGTCTAAGAGGAAGGAAAGAGTTTTTGTAGTCTGTAGTCAAGTGATTTTCTATGAATGAACTTAGGGAAATCTGAGAATTCTTGCAAAGGAAAACTTCCTTGGCCCTCAAAAAAAGAAGCATGAACAAAAACCTTTCAGAAGGTTTTTGCCTTGGTTTCCACTCCCACTGGAGTCAGTTTGAATACCTGGATTTGATATCAAAGGGAGAAAAACACACCAGTGTTTCTATAGAAATGCCATTTTTCATATACTCAGCATGGAGGCTCCAAAGTTTTGACCCTTCTCTAGAAAATGTTATGGAGTTATCTCCAAGGAAAGGGAAAATTGGCTGCTATGTGGATGTGGAAACATTCATTAATCACGGGATCAGTAGTCTAAACATTTCCTGTTTATATCCAGAATAACACTTCTTTAAATGATATTGCCAGCTCCAATTTGGCATCAATGTCTTATTTTAATAAAAACAAGCTGTTATCAACTTTAGCAGTATTAGAAATGTTTCTGGAAGATTGTGAATGGCCTTTGGTTCAGATCTTACTTCAGAAAACAGTCGTTCATCAGGAGCTGGAATCCAGTCATCTGAAATAGAAAAGTTGAAGGGAATCTGCTTGAAACAATAAGTTTGGAGATGTTCTGTATTATCCACTTAATGAGAAAAAAAAAGAGAAGAATTATTATAGAGATTTCTAATTCATTGGCTTGGCTTACAGTAAGCATGCCTCTGATAGATGTGTTGCTAAAGAGAAATTGCACTTGTACAGCTCATACGTCCAGAGACATCCATTCTGATTCTTGCTGTTTGTGACTCACATTCTTTCAAAATTACCAAGATCAACAATTCTCTCTCATTCTTTATTTATTTTCCTGTCAAACTGAATGCTGCCTCTTCCTTTTTTGTGATCAGAAGTCCAACGGCACAGATTTTGCGTATTTGAATAACTGCAAGAACATATAGGCAGGTAGTGCAAATAGAAAAAGACAACTGTAGGAAGGAAGAAGGTAGCTTAACGACAAACCTAACTGTTCAGTATTTCGCTTACACCACTAATCTTCAGCACAACAAGGCAGGCTTATGAAACTACATGTGTATTACCAAATTGCTATACTATGTGGAAAAAAGCTCGATTTAACTGGCATAGAATATCTGTGCCTATTCTGTTGAGGTCTTTCACCCTCCAAAACATGCTGGCTATATCCAAACATCCACATGGGACAAGTTTCAGGGAGCATGTTTAGGAAATGCTTGGCTTCCAGGTGATAATCAGGAAAGTTCATTCTGAAATATTTTATCTGCTCTTCCTCCATGAAGGATCTATACAGGAGGGTGCTGAGGGCAGAGGCAAGCTCCATGTATCCTAACAAAAACGTGGCTTATAAAGGAAAAAGAGAAGTGAAACTATTTGCTCCGACTCGACTTTTTTCTGTCTGCTTGTGTGTCAGACCCACCAAATTAATGCAAAAAAACTACCATTCACAAAAGTCTAACTTCTGTATCTCTTATCCACTGGAAAATGGGTGGGTGACCCAATCACCCAGGAAAGGGATCTTAGTATAGTACTTACCAGAATCTAGGTCTATTTCTTTCTTATTTGTTTTATTGCTTCAGAACATGAAAGTAACAGGCTTTAGTGGCATTTAAACTGCTGATAACTGTTTTGCCATATCGTCTGAGCAACTCTGATTCTCAGGGTTGGTTTTGCAAGGTAGAATGTATTTAGCAGCCTTGGCATAAAAAGGTTCTTAGTGCTTCAGAGTTTTGGCATTTTTATATCAAGACAGAAAAAAAAGTCAAGAAGGCTGTAGTTTAAACAAAGCAAATTCAGTTAGGTTCAGAGAAACTGCCATTATAAAAAAGTGCTACACTATAACTTAACCTACAATTGTCTGCTAAGTGTTTATATGTTCAGGTCACAGGCCAGCAGAGGAATTGTAAAACTTTGGTTTTTCTGTTCAAGCTCTCCTGATGTTTATTACCCACAACAAAGCAGTCAGCCTTCTTCTATACAACACTGCCTTGTTCTGTGGCAGGGCAAGGAATGCAGGAATGTGGATCCCAGCCAAGCTGCTGGGAAGAGAATTCCCTGAACCTGGAGGATCCCAGCCCTCTCCACTCCACATCTTTGTCCATCCATCTGCAGTGTCCACTCCTCCATGCTGCCACTGTTCTGGCTCAGCCTGGGTGGCCGCTCTGGGTTTGTGCACTGTGGGGCAGCCAGGATGTGGCTGCCGGGAGGGCAAATGCAGGGAAGGCCACAGCTTGGCTATATGTACATAATATCAAAAAAGTCAATGTTCACAGGCTGAGAATACCGCAGTGTCTGAACTAAGGGAAGCTCTTTGTTTGTTTTTTCTTGCAGCAGTGCCTGTGTTACTTGAACCTAACAGAAGGCTCTTTATTTTGTGCTCTGTGAGCCTGACCCATCACAAATCAATCACAGAAAGCTTATAGGAGATCTCTCCATCTCCTCCCAGGAAGGGCAGCTGAGAGTAATTTGTGAAGAACAAACTCCATAGCTCCCAAAGAGACTTGTGTTTGGTGAGCTGCAAGTTCTTCTTTCCGCTTCAAATTCACTGAGAGAGATGATCTTTGAGTGTGATAGTGGTGGCAGGAGTAAAGGCATTCTATCCTTCACCAGCATTGTGCCTCTGATATGCTCTGTAACTTTGGAAAACATCTCTCAGGGGTAAAATGTGCTGAGCACTCTTACAGCTGCAGTACAGCAGGGCTCTGGGCTCTTGCTTTAGTTTTACTTCAGGGTTTTCCACAGTATGAAAATACTAATTTCTGGGAGGTTTAGGGTTAAAGAACAGTGGTTTATTCCTCTGCAGTGACAGGAACTACTGTGAATTCAAACTGTGACACTGGGTCCAGATGTTAAAGTTGACTGAGGCCCACCACCTCCCATTCCAGAGTCAGTGACAGTTTACAAAGGAATGAAGCTAATCAGGAAGGATTTAAATGACAGCTTTTCCCAAAGTCTGTTTGTATTCTCTGCTTTAATCATACTTTCACTGTGCCAGAAAATAATAACATTGTAATAATGTTGTGCCAGATAAGCCACTTAAAAACAGGAAGAAATAGAAATCACAAACACTGAACTGGCAAAGAAGAAGACCACTAGAGATTGCCCAAATGGTGCCAGAGTGTCTGCAAACAGTGCATGGAGACGATAGGAGACAATACACGGGAACAGAAACCCATACTGGATGGGAAAGTGTTTGTTCAGGGGATAGATGATCATGGTCTCTGAGGTTTGTATTTGATCTGCTTCATGTATGGACATGTTTTCAACAAGTATTTAAGCACCTAAAGATCTAAGTTTGTATATGTGAGATTTCAGACAGGAGCCAGGTATCTAGGTGCTTTTGAGGCCTTCATAGTTACTGCTCTGCTGCTTTAACACTGATGGAGTCTGGTTTTTCGAGCCTGATTTTCTCGAAAGTGCTTGGCTTTCAAACAAAAAAACCTGAGATCTGCAAGCACTGAATGGTCTCCATATCTATTCACGCTGTGAAGTACGGAGATTCTGTCCTCAGTGCTTCCACACCCCTTTACTTAAATTTCTTTGCTCCATCATAGCCTTTGATCTCCATGAAATTGCTCCAACAAGTAACAGTTTGTTACCAGCTTTTTAACTTTTCTTTCCATCCTGCAAGGGTGTTGTGATGCATAATTTGAGTTTGTAAAGTGCTCTGGCTGGAAAGCACTCTGATGAGCAATGTGTTGAGTGCTACAGGGGGTTGGTTTTATTCCAATAAGAAAAAAGCAACAGGAAGGGATTTTATTTAATTCTCGGTTTTTCTAAATGCATGTAGGATGCAGCTAAAAAAGCCCAGAGATCTCCAGATGTAAGACAACCTGGGAATATGCGTGGTTGCTCTTTATGAAACTGTGTTGAAACTTTTCTCATACCATTAACTATTGCATGTCCAACACTGCTGGATAATGCAGATTCAAGAGGTGCCTCTAGTTATAAAGGGTGGTGAAGGCCCCACAGCTTCACCCTTTCAGAGGTTTGTGGGTGTGATGAGTGTGACGTGACGGTCACAAGGGATGGGAGAGGATGCTCAGTTCATTGTGGTCATTCTGTAGTGGAGGAGATGTAAATGTTTATGCAAGGACAGCATCGTCCACAGCAGACAGCCTCTGACTTCTCACATAGTTGTTAGCTAACTTCTTTAACTTTAGAATTTTATCTTAGTTAAAGGGAGAACATTGGAAATTTGGAGTTTGTACATTCTTGCATCATTTTACTGGGCTTAGGAGGAGAGGTATTTAAGCTGCCTATGCAGCATGAAGATCCAAGGACTGGATGTTTGCTATGCTGACTCAAACGTTTTGTGCCACTCTGGTTTAGTGCTTAACCAGTCCCAGCTATTACGTGCAAAGAGGAAGCAGCTGCCAGCTTTTGAATCTTTCTAGCTGACAGAATGAAGGAGGACTTGTGCAATACTCACCGCCTTTTTCTCA